GAACAACATCAAGATCGACATGTCAGGAGGAAGTATGTTCTAGAGTTAGTAAAAAAATTTCAAGAGACAGGGAACGTAGCCAATAAAAAACGAGAAATTGAAAAACCTATAGTTAATGAAGCTAGTGAAGTTGCAATTTTGGGACAAGTTCATCTTGATCCTACATTAAGTACGAGGCAGCTGGCATCTGTGTCTAGAATCAATCGAACTAGCATACAAACCATTTTGAAGAAGAATAAATTCCATCCATACAAAATACATTTAGTCCAGGAACTTCATGAGGATGATTATGACCGCCGTTTGCAATTTTGCGAAATAATGAGTGAACGAGCAGGGAACGATCAACAGTTCCTTCTTAAATATTTATTTTTGTATGTAAGCGGGCAGTCGTCAGTTTGAACATTTAATCAACTAAGTAGGAAGTAAGCAACTAACCATAATTTAAATTTTAAAATGTACATTTTTTCCAAAGTACTGGGCGGAATTATAAAATTTAAAGTCTGTTGTCTGAATTGTAAGAGCTTTCAAAAGAAATATTACTCAACCCCCAATGCCATTTAAATATCTTGAGGTGATGCTTACCCTTGCTTGGGGGTGAAAGTTGCGGAGTCAAAATACCAGCAAGGAATGTCCCCCTTTAATCTAGAAAAACGCTCAGGTTTTTCTACAATCTTGACGCAGTTGCTGAAAATGGGTCTATTTCGTTTTCATTTGGCCACCCAGTATATTATTACATATTCGGAAAGCTTATGAATAGAGCTCTAAGTTAAAAAAACGTCAAGATTCGTTGAAAAACAACGGAGTTACAGACTATCAAATATATTATATTCAAGCGACGTTTTTTTGTTTTTAACTTACAATTAAAGCTCATTTCATAAGCTTTCCGAATATGTAATAATATATAACTATATCACGCGGGTGCGTCGTATATTTCATTTTGAAACTAAGGCTAAAAATTCCAGGTTGCAAAATTGAAATTAAAAAAAAAATATATAGATTTCAATGTATTGTTATGAAATCTACCATGAAAAAAATCAATGCAATTGTGGAAGATTATCGGGATCGTCCAGACTAATAATAATTAGTTAATTTGTTTATAAGGCCATAACTTTTAAACGATTCAACTTACCGATTTCAGATTTCGTGTGAGTTATTAGACAGTGATAAGGAATGAGAGGATGCGATGCCAAAACGTTCTGGTAATAATAACGCAGTTTATAAATGTTTAATTCAAAAGTCATAAATAAACTTATTCTGTTTATAACTGTTGATCTAATCAATATTTTTTGACGCTCGAGGGCTAGTTTTGTAGGTCTTTTGAAGACGATAAAAATGGAAATGAACGGAAAAAAGTTATAATCGAAAAACGTGAACAATCTTCCCCCCGTTTTTATGACTGTGGAAACTAATATATTATTGTACATAATATTTAACATCTATAGTGATAAATCCAGCTTGCCGAAACAAAAAGTCGCGTCCAACTCTATATTTCCTGGCCTAATTATGTCGCTGATAATAACTGCTTTTATCTTTTTTATATTTAAAATACATACTTTCTTTCAATTTCCTAATTATCGCATATTTATGTTGCTCATAGTCGTAAGTGCGTAGATTCTATTTTAACTGAAAGTAACTGTTTTTTAGACCAAGGTGAGAAGATGGTGAGGAAAGGATGTTGTAATGATGGTAAATTATCATGCTCCGACGCGATATTGCGTTGTGGTCGTCTAGAAAATTGTATAGATGTATCTTCTTATGTAGACTACACTAATTAGTAAACGACCTTACTAGCAAACCCTTACTGGAAAAATAAATTTATTGAAATCATGCAATTGAGTAGTTGTTTTTTAGACTACATGTTCATGTAAGTTTTGAAACAACATGATTATAATTGGACAAGAAAATTGCACAAAGCCAAAATATGGTGATCTAACGCAACTTGGCTTTATGCTAAGCTGCACCACTGAGAAGTTATAGGCCTTGACAGTGGGGTTTCAAATTTCGAAAACGATCAATGTCTCAGTTACATTTGAACTTAGAAAAACCAAATTTAGTATACGGTGTGAGTGTACCAAGAGCATTAATCGACAGTAAGTAGAGTTCAAGTGAAACATTTTAATGGGTTGACAAGGGATGATGCACCATTAAAATGTAATAGAATTGATTAACCCGTTGGCGGACTTAAAAAAGTATTACTTTATTTTATGAGGAATTTAATTCTAAAACTTTTCTTACTCCGGGAAGTTTTCAAAAAAACTATGTCGTTTTCAACAAAAAATACGAATAACTAATAATATTCCAGTTACTGAAGCATTTTGGCTACCAATTTTTTCGGATGAAATGGATTGACGTGGAATTTGAACTGTAGCTAGGGCATAGCCCAAGAAATAGAAGTTATATAGTGCCGATGAGTGCTTTTGCCCTAAGGGTGGATTCCACCCCTTCTGGAGGGTGAGAATTTTTTATTAAAAATAACCTCAGAATTCGATAGAGAGACGAATTCTAAGCAAGAAAAGTTCTACAAGAATTTTTTGTACAGTCAATACTTTTTGAGTTATTTGCGCCTAAACATGTTCGTTTTTAGCCCAAAAAATTCATGTTTTGAGCCATTTTTCGCGAATATCTCAAAAACTACAAGTTTTATCAAAAAATTATCATTATCAAAATTTAAGGTAATTAAATAGCAACGTCCTGTATATAACACCTATTAAAGTCTATGGAACTAAATGGCGAAAATTATTTAGAATTTCTTCAAAACACTTTCCTCGATCTACTTGACGAGGTGCCACTACAACTCAGATTGGAAAATTGGTTTGTGCATGACGAAGCACCCCCTCATTTTAGTAATATTGTTAGATGCTTTTTAAATCACCAGTATCCAAATAAATGGATTAGAAGAGAAAATAANATTTGTGAATCAAAAAATAATCTAGTCAAATATAACCCGCGAGTTCCAAAAATTAGAAAATAATTTGACAGATTTGTTGCCATTTGGAAATAGCCTGTTGCCTGGCAACAAGTTTTCAAAAAATATGTCAAATTATTTTCAATTTATTCTCATTCTCTTGTTATATTATTACTGAAAATTTTACACCTGTCATTTTAAACCAATTACATAATGTAATTTCGACAGTTGCCCATGGCAACCTTCAAATTTTTCGGAAATTTTTTCCTCCTGCCAAACTAGGCAAACAAAATTAATAAGTGGAAATTTTTTTTGACAGCTATCATATGGTTAAAAAATCAGTACCTATCCAGAATTTTGCTTTGTAATGTTTTTATCTATTTTAAAATAATAAATAGATACAAATAATTATTTACCAAATATTTGTTCCGAGATTTCTTCTATTAACGCTCAATGTTTTCTGGCTGTAACTCTTCTATTCGCAACGGAGAGTAAAGAGGAGCATAATTATTACCTTTATTTTTCATTTCCATCAGATGTCTGTGTTTCATAAAATATATGTAATAATTTGATGATATTTTGTTCCGCTGAGCCCTGGTTTTACATAAAAAAGATGGGATATCTTCCTCCAAAATCTTTTGAATAGCTGCGAAAAGGTTTTCTTNTTGAAACAAAAAGTGATGATGAAAATAGTTCATATTAAGATGTCCAATGCTTCCTTTCCTAAATACAAGAACTTCTTATTCTGTTTTTTTTATATCAGTATATCAATAATGGAATGTTTTTTTTTTCTCACACTTGGAACGATTAAACTGCTCATTACAGGGTACGTTTTGGTGTAAATTAAATTGTATCACCTCACCAGGGACGTGCATATAGTAATGATATCCAATTATTTTTAACAATAATATATAGGGGAAAGTGGGGGAATATCGCGAGGCGGGTAAAATCGCGCATTCCAATATTTCCTACTATATAATTTCAAATAACCGCCTGATAGCGCCGCCACCTATTAGACGAATTGCCAAGTTCGGATCTTACAGATATTGGGTAATTTCTCAATAGGTAACACTCTCTGTTGAAATACATATTTTCGAGAAGTTTCTTATTAATTTGTAACATGTTATGACCTGCATTCCTACTAACTGAGCTTAAATTAAACAACAACTACAAGCTAAGGTGAGTAATACTACCTTTTGCTTACAAGATATAGTCAGCTTTAGTTGTTTCTTGTTTTTCGAAATGAGGTTAGGACAATGTTTGTTATCAAGCGATTATGGGGTAATTTCGCGCACAACACGAAGGGAAATATCGCGCATTACAGTTAGCGCGCGGTATTGCCCCAAATACGATTTAATTATATATTATGGAAATATATACAATTTTTTAACTACAGATGCCACGAAAATATCTGCGTAAAACCGAAAGACAGATCAAGGAGACCTTGTTTTTAACATGGCTGCAATAATTTCAAGACATTGTTATATCGTCAGAGAGCAACCCGTTCTCCTAATATGTGATAACCACCCAAGCCACATAACATGTGACTCGTTCGAATTCTGTAGGGCTAATCATATAACAGTGGTACCACCACATACCTCTAATCGCCTTCAGCCCTTAGACCTGACAATCTTTGGGCCATTAAAAGGTGCCTTGTCAAGAGAATTTATGATAAATAGTGCCCATACTAATATAACAACATCTGACATTCCCTCCTTATTGAACAAAGCTTATGTCCGTGTTGCAACTATGGAGAAAGCTATGTCAGGATTCAAAGAAGCTGGTATATACCCTTTAAATCCAAAGAAGTTTACTGCGGATGATTTTGCACCCGCTGAGGAATTTAGAGACATAGTTCTTGATCTTGAACCAGAAGTGGATAATACATTACCTCCAGCTTTAGAAACTCACGATTCCATAACTTCTTTAGTTTCACAGGCATATGATGATGGCGCCGTAGCGGGACCCTCGTATGTATAATTTTCCGATGTGGCGCCCATTCCAAAGCATCGGACTACTACGAAAAAGACTACTAAAGGACAAGAAAAGAAAGAAGCTTGATAAAACAAAGAAGCAAGAAAAAGCGAATAAGGATAAAGGCATTTAAAAGAAAGAAACCAAATACTAATTGTAAGCCGTCGAAGAGAAATTGTAGGCAGGACTCTGAAGAAACTGATGAATCATATGTTCGTATTGAAGATATTTGCGATGACGACGAACTAGATGATTTAATAGTTGATGGTAACTCTGAAAAGTGCATAATTTGCGATGCATTTGGACGTAATAACGAGATTTAGTACCGCTACGTTAACTGGGACAGTCTAGAAAATTATAAATGCGACTTGTACCTGAAGAAAGAAAACGCGTCAAGAAATCTTTCTAATCAATTTTAAACCTTTTTTATTACTATTTTTTTTTTGACACAAATGTGACTTGAAATATATATTTTTTTTTTGGTTTCTTCAACACATATTTATTTTAAGTATATGTTATTTATGTTGCGTTTATACCATATATGCATGTATTTATACTATTTTTTCAATAAAACGTGATTCTCACTACTGCGCAATATTACCCCATTCTATAAGCGGAATTACCCCATTGGATGGGAAATACCGCGCATATGACACTTAAGATCTATTTAGTTATAATATCAAAAAAAATTTAAACAACTAAAAAAATAATATACTAGGATAGACTTAGAACGTATGAAAACTTAGTTTTTTCCTTTTCATAATTTTGCAGGTATCAAGTCATTCAAAATTTTACAAATTTTCTTAGGTGCACGATATTTCCCCACTTTCCCCTACACGTTAAATGCTAGGACACGACTGAGCGCTGGGCTCCAAATCAGGCTCCAAAGTGTTTTCACCAAAGTCGCTCTATAAGCCAGTCTGTGATAAAGTACATACGCTACATGCAATGCAGTGCTTTCATAAATTCAAATCAGTCGACTTTTCGCGGTAACTTCAAAAAGTTTATAATTCATACCATTAAAACATCTCAAGATTTCAATATTATTTTATTTTATTATAAGGGATGGTTTTTAAAGGTTGCAACTTTGTAATAAGTCGCAATTTTTCTAATGAATAACAAAAGAAATGCAATACATTGTGAATACACCAAAAGAATATTTTAAACTGTTAATAACATTTTTTTCTATTTTTTTGGCCATGGAAGGTTAGTTTTAAGGTGTTTTAAGGGTTGAAGAGTAATTAAATTTCATAAATTATATTAAAAAACATGAAAGAAACTTTATCCAACATATTTGAACATGAATTGAATCTTTAAAACACGTAAATCTGCGATTTTCGCATCCGTACAAGGGTAGTTTTCACCCCCAAATAGAAAAAGCACACATCTAGACGATATAACTTTTGAAGTAGGGGGTCAGATCAGCTTGTATGCAAATTTTCAGGAAAATCCATGCTATCTGAAAAAATTGGGAACTTTTACCTTATTTTCGCCTTCAGTGATTGGACGTACTGTAGCTGCATTATCTAAAATCATCATCAAAATTTAAAAGTTGGTCATGAATTTAAACGTCAAACCTGACGATCAGGAAAAAAGGTCATTTAATGTTGTAATTATTTGCCGAGTGTTTTGAATATGGCGGTAAGTTTTCATTTAGCGAACAAGTTGACATGCTATTAGTGTTTATGTGAAGGAAAATACACAGGAAGTGTTGAAGAATGTCGAAAAAGATTTCCAAATCGAGAAACATTTTCCAATGCTGAAAAACGGGTTCGAGAAACAAGCAAGTTTTTCAGTAATACTAGAGAACTTGCTATTGCAATCAGGGCACAAGGCGAAGAACTTATTTTGAATACAATTGAAGACAACCCACATATTAGCACTACAATTCTATCTCAACAAACTGGTATATCGCAAACGTCTGTGCACCAAAGCATTAATTTTCAAAATACC